CACACAATTTTAAAATGTAGATAAAACCCTAATGAAATGTAGAGAAGAGTGGACAGTCATGTATAATGCAGTGTGCTTTTAAATACATAAAATGCTTGTATACAGTAGAAGACAATAGGAAACTTTTATACAACAGCACCTAAAAATAGCTACTACAAATGCAGATTCATCTAAACTCCTAATTTTGGCAATTCAGATACCAGGAGCTATCTTACTAATGATGTCATGGTTTTCCTAAACAGGGAACAATTCCTGGCTAAGTCTTAGCTATAACAAAGAACAGTGGTTGCATTGCTGGGAAGTTCAGGGTGTGCAAAAATTACTGTTTATTTGCAAAAACAAAGGTAAGTTATGGTATTTTAGAACCTATTGAGATTTAGAAAGTGAGTAGAGATATTGGAAGATGTTGTTGTATGGGATTGTTTTACACATTGTAGTCCATCTACACCCTTAAGAACTAACAATGTCTTCCAGTTATTGTAGCAGCCAAAGGCACTCCCATAAACTTCTCAAACTTCTTTTAGAGGTTATCCTCTAATGAGAACCACCTCTTACATGATTTTGACTTCTCTCTCTCTCTCCAAATATACATAGATAGATGGGTAGATAGATTGATTGATTGATTGGCATTTTTGGAATATACTTTTGAAAATCTACAGAAATGTATAATTTTCTTGTTAGATTAATTTCCAGGTATTACATGATTTTAGTAGAGGGGGCTGTTTTCTCATTTTCTTTGTGTGTGTGTGTGTGTGTGTGTGTTGCTGGGGATGTGGCTTTGGGCCTCGAGCATGCTAGGCAAGCGTTCTGTCACTGACTCCGTCCCCAGCTGATTGTTAATGTGTAGCAAAGCGAGTGTAGTTTATTTTTTTTTCTTTATTTGGACACCTTATTTAGCTCTCTTACAGCTCTGCTATTTCTTCAGCTAGGTTTTTTAAAAAATGTTTTTCAGCTAGAAAATCATTTTTTTTGCAGACGATGGTTTTCCTTTTCCTTTTGTTGCGTCTTTTCCAGAGGTATAGTAAACAGTGCCTGTTTCACAGGTACCTTTCTGGGGGTGAGGCAAAGCTGTACATTGTTTAATTCTTTGACAGTTTTATTTTATAGTTGGGGTTTATTTTACTGCGCTCCAGTAATTCATGTTTTTTCATAATATCTATTTTGTTAATTTTTTACTTGTTCTTATTTTTTGTGCCTTTACACAGAATAACCTTTCTTCCCATGCTCCAGTTTGGGGATGGCGAACCTTTTAGATCTCTTAGTGACAACAGCCCTCTGTGGCACATGTGCTGTAGGTTCACTGCACAGGCTTCTCTTCCCCAAGACCCCGGAAGGGTAACCATTATTACTGTCTTCTCGACAGAGCATCTTTAGGCATAAGTAAAAATGAGTACATATGTTATTCTTCCCCAAAGGCTGTAATGTATGCTATGGGTTACAGATATGGCGTTTGTTTTGACATCTTCTCTTGTGTGGATGTACCAAATGTATGGAACCATTCCCCTGGTAATCTCATTTGGGTTATTTGCAAACCAGCAGTTCAAACCATCGTCTTATTTCCTTGTGTCTGTAGACTGAATCTTCACATACCAGGACAAAGGAACTGTATTTAAGGAGTTTATGTTTTGTTTGCTAAATGTTGCCAAATTGCCCTCCAGAGGTTGATGTAGGGTTTACTTTCCACTGGTAAAATACTAAATAGGGCACATTTCCCCAAGGAATTCGTATCCAACTCAAGTAAGTCCATCTTAGATTTTTTTAACATGTAGTGAGTCATTTATTGTTTTATATTTTACATACAGTGAATGTACCTTCTTTATGTTAGGAATGTAGTATGCTTTTTCATATCCCAGGTAGAGAGAGAGCCTTTGTAAGCTCAGGAAATATAATGAATATAGTGTTTAAATACAGCTAGCCACTTTGCACATTATTTTTCTATCTTAGCAAATTTCATCTTTGACAAACTTAAGAGTACATAGGATAACACTAAATGACTTTTTAAAAATGTATTTTTGCAAATTTTGGAAAAGCACATTGAAACAAACTGTCAAGGTAGAAAAACCTACACTGGGGAAATACATTTATGGAATAATTGAGAAGAGGAGGAATTGCATTTCTGACTAGCCTCAAAGATGCAAGATGCCTAATTCATGCACAAAGACATATTGTATAAATGGGGGGTCCTAAAGCTCTTTCAGCCTCTTGCTTACGGGTCCTCAGCCCTGGCCCTGCCTTCCTTATATTATAGGTTGTAGTCCCAGAGCACTGGTGGATGGACTGGTGGTTGTGTTCAGTGTAAGCTGAAGGCCAGTGTGCCAGCAGTTTTGTATAGCTTTTCTAGCACTTTATTCTGTCTGCTATGAGTAAATATTTTAACTGAGTCTTAAATGTGCACTAATTACCTTGTTTTTGGGTTAGAATTTTTGCTTTGTAGAGGTAGCACAGTGTAGACTGGAGAAAAGGCACTTGATAGGAACAGACTTAAACCTAGAAGTCTGTATTTCTAGGCTATCAGATGGTGAGATGACTCCCAGAAACCCTTTTGGTCATGTTTGAACACTCTGTGCTTCTGGGTTCCTTCAGTCCTTTACCACAAATTCAGTGTGGACTTTTGAGTTTTACATGGGAGGTTTGGCTTTCTCTATCTCATACCTTGTCACTGGTGGCAGTGACTGTCACAGTCTGGGTACCACTCCAAATGTTCTAGATGTATTTAGGTTGGGATTGAGATGATGGGGTCGAAAAGGAGCTGGCTTTCTCATCTCTTCTTGAGCCTGGGGCAGCAAGGCCATGTGTGCAGGACAATGCTACCTACAGTCGGAGCTCAGTAAAAAACAAGGAGACCGGCGGAGCCAAGCCACAGGTCTTTGCCTGTGTGTTTTGAATGCACTTTATTACTGGCACAAGTGAATTTAAACAGTGTTCTTTGGCAAAGAAGTCTTCTTTTTACATGAAGGAGAAGCAGTAATTGAACATTAAATTTTGGAGGGAATGTGACTATAAACATCACCAAAATAGAAGATTGATTGATTCCTTAGCACTTGGTCCAAACAAAACAGAGCATGTACACAAAACAGTGAAAATGTGTTCTTGCCACCGTGTCAAGCATAATCTAAATTAGCTGTCTGTGGCGAAGGAGTCCTCACTCGTGTGCATAGGCCTTCTCCTCCCTCTTCCCATTTTGTGCTCGTAGGGTTTCTGTGCTGTTGGTGCGTTGCATTCCAGACAGATCCCTGCATGTGTGAAGCACACAGTTCTCAGGGTGTTCTATAATGGCTTTGTTATGTCCTGGAGGACATTTTTGCCAAGAAAACTTCGGGAGATTTGTAAAAGGTGAGAGAAAAAGACAGGAATCTCCTGTGCAGCCCAGGTCTCACCTCTGGCAGGCAGGCTCTGCCAACACATCCTGGAGCTCATGACATCTTGGAGCACCACAGTTATAAACTAAAGCTTGGGGAACCCCCAGCATGTAAGCTTTTATCAGGAGCAAAAGTCTTCCTCAAAACCACAATGGACAGAAATGAGCAGGATGTCGTAAGTCCAGGGTCACTCGCCATGGGGCCTCGCGGGATGCTGGGTACCTGAAAGAAGCCAAGGCAACAGCTGGCTTTCTATTCTGTTGGCATTATTTCCAGGCTGCTCACTGAGACTTAACGTTAGCCAAGTTTATGTGAACCAGAAATGTGCTTTGCTTATAAATGCAAGGCTAATTTCTGCCTTTGTGCACATTGCTGGTTTGAACTGTTTTACCAAAAGAACATTGCAAATAGTAGATTACTTTGATGCAAATTCCAGGGATGGAAAATGACTAACAAGTGTATATACACTAGAGTACACAGACAGAAATAAACACAACCGGTATGAACGTCACATACTTTCCACACAAACGTGGGGAGATACACAAGTTCATGCCCAGTGTAGTTCATTTAGGAATGCCTGAGAGATACCCTCGTGTCAGAGAATATTGTAAGTTAAACTCTTCCTATTGCTCAACTGTGCAGTAATAAAAGAAAAAAGATGTATCTTTTTAGCACAAAAATATAGAAGAGGTATTTTTCTCCAGATGTATACAAAAACCCTGCTCATTGGGGCTATTTCTTTATACTCAACTCCATATTGACCTTTCATTATTCTGCTTGAAAATCGTATGGAATTTGGGCTATGGGATAATCATAGATACCTTTGTACTAGATGTGACATGACCTTTAGCAGTAAGCACACTGTGTAGCTTTTTAATTCATATAGGAACATCTGTTTCTGTATTTTTTCAGAATTGAAGATGTTTGCTTAAATTTTGCATTCAGTTTTAATCTCAGCATGCAGTATCCCATACCTGTTGATCTCAGGTGGATGGAGACCCCCATCTGGTTAAAGAAGAATCCCTTAAAAGAGCTAGGGCATGTGGTTGACGGTAAATTTGATTTACATTCTTGTCTGCACCTTGACCTCAGATATTGGTGAGACGGTCGGTAGGAGCTAGGAGGCCTAGCTTCTGACTTCTAAACAAAACTTGTTTCTGTAAATGTCAAGTGTGCCTTCTTGGCCAAAATGCAAAGAGGAAGGAGAAAGAAGGGCAAGCAAACATCTGTATGTTGTTAAGTAACATTGCTTCATTTGCTTTTGAAAATATTTCTCTTTTATATATTCAAGAACTATTTGTTTTAAAAGGGAAAAATCTATTTGTCGGCTGTTGTTTCCTCACTGCTGCATAAAAGCCTAGGAGGAGATTAAGGAACACATTCAGTTTGGGACTCACGGTGGCCCCCATGGTGTCATCACTCCTGCCAGGGACAAAGGCTGCTCTCCATCTTTCCTGTCTCCGTCTCCCATTGTCCCTGCTTACAGGGACCCCAGCTCACAGGCCTGCACAAGGGGAAGACAGGGCAGGAAGCCGGAGCACGATGTTGGGGCCCCGTGGCACAGCCTTGCAGGGTGCTTCTCCCTTCGTGTCATACCCTAGTGTCATTGTCTGTGGTTTTCTCTTTGCTCTCCTCATACAGATCCAGAGTTAGGTGTCGGCACACTGCCTGAACATGACAGCCAGGATGCCGGGCCGATTGTTCCCAAGATATCAGGTCTAGAGAGGAGCCAGGAGAAGAGCCAGGACTGTTGCAAAGAGCAGATCTTTGAGCCCGTGGTGCTTAAAGACCCCTGTCCTCAGGTCCCCCAGCCGCTACCCCAGCCACCCGTGGAGCCGCAGGTCCGAGCTCCTTCTCCAGATCCTAACTTGGTGCCGCGCACGGAGGCCCCCACCCAGCCACCCCCTCCAAGTACTCAGCCGCCACAGGGCCCCCCAGAGGCCCAGCTGCAGCCCGCCCCGCAGCCTCAGGTGCAGCGGCCACCGCGGCCACAGTCCCCCACGCAGCTGCTTCACCAGGGCCTCCCGGCGGTGCAGGCCCACCCAGCGTCCCAGAGTCTCTCCCAGCCACTATCCGCCTACAACAGCAGCAGCTTGAGCCTCAACAGTCTCAGGTGAGTCCCGGTCGTTTGCCCACTGCCTGAGGATGGGTGCACCCAGGAGCATCATGTTGCCTTGTCTAGGCCTGGCCTCATGTTGTCTCTGAGTTGGGTGAGACACGGGTCTCTCAGGAAAGGCCGTGCTGGGGTGGACAGTGAGGACTGAAGGCAGGAGGAGAAGGCTTAAGAAATAGGTCCTTGCCTGTGCCCAGAGCCAGGGGTGGTGAGAACGGTGAGAGACGCTCACAATGGCGTCGCTTTGCCTCCAAGGGAGGGAGTTGGAAGGACAGTCTCATCTGTGCAGTTCTGGAAGGTTGGCACCCTAGGACTGTTATGGTTTGGGGTTGTTTCACTGGGATTGTCTGTTCCTGTGCAGGCCAGAGAGATTGAGAAGAAATCAGGGAGGGAAGAAATGGGTGCCCGCAGTGTGAGGCAGGCTCCCTGTCTCTCTGGTCTTTGTCAGGTTAAGCAGCAGCCTCAGGGGAAATGGTGGAGGGAAGAGGCAGGAAGCAATCCCTCTTGTCCCTGGGCTTATAATTCTAACCCCGCAGGTCTCCTGAGGCTTTGTATCTTTGTTATTGTTTTCCTTTTGGAAACTTGGTGACTTGGGCGGCTCAGGGACTTGCTTTTTCCTGTCTGGGACAGGTGCACAGTAGCCTTAGAGAGACAGGGTTCTTCCCCAAGGGGCCAGGCCATCTCCTACTCCTGTGCCGTTCCCACCATTCCCCTGGCCTCTACATGACAGGGTGGCAGGAGGATCAGGTACCGGGCTTCACCTCTCCCTTGTGTTTCTTTCTTGACAGTGCAGCAGTGGGCAGGGTGAGTGCAGAACCTCAACTCTGCCACTTTAAAAGAGACGGGGCTGGTGGAGGAGGCAGGGAGGGGTGGCGGTGAGAATCAGGCGCAGAAGGGGAGAAGCCCTGAGCGCCAAGCGCAACCAGCTGTCCCACACCAGGACCTGCAGTTCTGGGGCAGTGGTTCCCCTGGCCATGATCCGGTAATGAGGAAAGAGCGTGCAGGAGCAGAGACTGCAGACAGCTGCTGTGCTGTACGCAGGGGGGGATCTGTAAAGAGGAAAGGGTGAGACAGGACAGCTGAAAAGGCAGGGAGATGAGTTTACCTTGAGAAAATCAATCACTCACCTCTTTTTGCTTTTTCTCTTTTCCTTATTCCAACAGCAGTAGCAGGAGCAGCACTCCAGCGAAGACTCAGCCCGCCCCGCCTCACATCTCCCACCACCCCTCTGCCTCCCCGTTCCCCCTCTCCCTGCCCAATCACAGCCCCCTACACAGCTTCACACCCACCCTCCAGCCCCCTGCGCACTCACATCACCCCAATATGTTTGCCCCTCCCACTGCTTTGCCTCCTCCACCACCACTGACATCAGGGAGTCTGCAGGTGCCCGGACACCCTGCCGGGAGCACTTACTCAGGTAGGAAGTGGGTGCTGCGCCTACCCACCTTTGCCCTCTGTCCCTTCCTAAGTAATCTTTACGCTATTTGTGTCCCTTGTTAAGTGACCTCTGTCTCTGATGGCTGAACTGTGTTTATGGACAGTTTTGTGCTCTCTTGGGTGTATTCTTGTAATCATCTTCTCATCATCTGTGGCCAGAGGTTCAGCAGAAATACAGCAGGTACTAACCTGGCACAGCTTGGTAAATGGTTGGTCAGAGTCACAGCACTCTTCCAGCCAAGCTTGCCCCTGGGTGGGAAATCCCAGAATGCTGTGTGCCTTGTGCTCAGCCAGAGCAGTAACAGCTTTTCCAGGACCATATCCACTTCACTGCAGGATTTCAGGTTACATCCTGGTCTAAGAGGCTTGTTTCCATTGACTGACCTTCTGCCTTCCTTCTTGGGAGGAGGAGATGCACCTTCTGCGACAGTACAGTCTAGAGTTTAAAGAACAGACTTACTGTTAGATTTGGGGTCCTCTTCTCATCTGCATTAATCAGCCCAAGGTCCCAGAGCTGATCCAGGATAGCCACATTGTGTCACACTCTGGAGCAGTAAGTGACCTGAAAAAGGGCATGAGACCTCCTGCCATGTTAACAGCTGCTGATGATTAGTGTGCCTAAGCACTTGACACTTAACCCTTCAGCAAACCCATGAGGTCAGCCAACTTACACACGGGAAACTGACTCAGGTAGAATATTTGCCATGCCAGGGGTCAGTCACTAGCAATAACAGAGCTGTTTAGCCTGGAGTCGGTTCACCCTGCATCACAGCCTCACCCCTGCCTCTCAGAGCTTTCCTGGCTCTCCCCTATAGCTCCCCAGCTGCTATGTCCTCGGCCCCGTGTCTTTCCACATGAAGGAAACAGCCATTGCTATGAAAGGTATTCATGGTCTCTGTCTCTTCTTTTCCAGAGCAAGACATCTTGCGCCAGGAACTGAACACACGTTTTTTGGCCTCTCAGAGTGCTGACCGCGGGGCCTCCCTGGGCCCTCCGCCCTACCTGCGGACAGAGTTCCACCAGCACCAACACCAGCACCAGCACACGCATCAGCACACACACCAGCACACCTTCACACCATTCCCCCACGCCATCCCGCCCACCGCCATCATGCCGACGCCAGCACCTCCCATGGTGCGTACCCCAGGCAGAAATGTGAGGATAAGTAGAGCACAACTCTTTTCTTTCTGCAGCACGCTGGGGTTGGCATGGGCATTGGGCCACAGGAGAGTGGATGGGGAGTGCCAGCTCTCTAGGGGGTCCTCGGGCCTCGCCTGACTTTGCAAGGGAGAAGGGCCTGTGTCCTACTTCACAAGCTCTAACTTCAGGGCCTGGCAGAGAAGCTTCATGGAAATAGTTGTATTTCGTACTGTGGGTGGATTTTATTCTAGATGATTCCAAAATAGTCACATCCGGTACTGGTAGTTAACCTCTCTTAAGTGTTGTTTAACATCCTTGGGAATACCAGGGCTCATATAAAAGGGTACCTGTACCACGTGCCAGCACACAAATGCTTACAGAATAGTGGGAGTAAGAAAGAGAGAAGGCAGAGAGACCTGTCAGGAGGCCTGGGCCACGCCAGATGCCATCTGCTTGTGCACATGGTTTCCCTAAGTCTACTGTGTTAGAGGCGTTTTGTTACATTTCATGACAGAGCCCTGCCCCAGCATCATGTTCTGTCTGCAAGTGGTCGGGAATGAAGTGGCCCTTAGGGATAGAGCTCAGTCTGTAGTAAGAGCTACCACTGGTGATGACCTGGTCTTATCTGGCAACACCTCAGTTACTTAGAACTTTCTATTTTTATTTTTTAACTTCTTTTTAGTACTGGGAACTGAATCTAGAACCTTCTACACGTTAGACAAGTGCTTTATCACTGAGCTACATCTCTATGCTTCTTCTAATTTCTGAGACAAGGTTTCTTTAAGTGACTCAGGCTGGCTTTGAAATTGCAGTCCTCCTGCTTCAGCCTCCTGAGTAGCTAGGATTTTAGGCTTAAGCCATCAGGCCTGGCTAATTAGGATTTTTGTTTTGAAAATTGGGAACTGTGAATAGTGGTATCATACTAGAACTGTATTCTGAGACAGAATTCTGTCTCAGTATTAGAAAATTTTATTGCTTAATTTTAAATATTTAAGTAATACTTAATATTTAATACAGTTGATTCTGAGGTAGTTTATGTAGGCATTGTTAGATGAGAATTTAATGGAGGAATTCTTGTGATATAACCTCACTTCGTCTCTATCCTTTCTCCCCCTGTTTTGTTCATCTTTTTTAAACATAGATTTTAGAGGGATGTTAAAGGTGAGGACTTACAGCCAAAACACTTTGCATAGGAAATCCTGTGTCTTTCGTTCCGGATGAACTGTACTTCTCAACAATCATATTTTTCAAGACCCCCTATTTTGGAAAAGCTTGCTGACCTATTTCAAAACGAAATAAACTCAGGGTTGTGACATTACTATTTAACAATGACAGCATACTTCTTTTCTGGTCAGAAGAAAGGCTCTAAGCCACAGCCCAGACTACCCTGTATTTGGCTGTAATGTGTTTCAGAAGACAGCTGAAGCCAATTTTTCTGCCAAAGTAAAGATGAAAATGGAGGGAATTCTCTGATAAATCAGACCAAATGCTTACTTCTCTTTTAGTTACCTGGTAATTGCCCATCTTCTCCAGTTTACATGCTTGTTCATTGTCAATCTCTAAATACAAAATAAGACTCCGTAGTATGTCCGGGACGCATGTGTACCTTACAAGTTTTCCCATTTCTGTTGGTTTGTAGTGAGGGTGACTTAGGAGCTCAAATGATTTCATGTACTGTAAGGTGATTGAGCAGGATGACAATGACACAGATGACAATGACAAAGTTGTTTAGGGTCACCTCCACTGATGCAGTGAACAAAAATGCAGATTGAGTAACTAGCTTTTGCTTTGATCCCTTTACAGTTTGACAAATACCCTACAAAAGTTGACCCATTCTACCGGCACAGTGTGAGTTGTATTACCATGCTACACATTCAATGTAACTGCCTCCGCGTTCTCATGCTCTTGCCACAGATCAGTAATGACTAGCAGCTTCCTTAATCATCTATGCAAGATTCCCATCGCACCTTGTCACTTTGGATGCTTGCTTTTGTGGCGTTTCGCTTTGGTAAAGATGCAGTATTATCTTCTGAATCAAAACATCATAAGCACACCCAAGACTCAAAGCAGGTGGCACTTGCTGGAGGTTGGGCCTCTGTCCTGCCAAGGGGGCGTCTGAGGAGTCATGATAGATCCGGGGGGTGAAGTCACAGCACTTCAGCCATCAGTTGAAACGCCATTACCACAGAGCTCCTGGAACTCAGCTTGAGTGTGTCCTCTATATACCAAACTCCTGATCTTTTTGATTCAACTTCAAATAGTAGATTTTTTCCCATTAAATATAGAGCCCTCTACAGCATGACCAATTATTGCTCTCCTGAGCTTATGCCCATTTGTTAATAAAAATATTAAAAGAATTAATTTAAAAACTGCTTAAAATTGAAAGCTATTTTTTTCTAAACTCGTTCCTTGTATAAAAAATTATTTCACTTTTTATTCATTCATTCCAGGAGTTAAATTGGTGCCAACCTGAGTTCAGTTACAAGACAGTTTCTCTTATACGAAAGATTTGAATATTCACCGTGATATTTTGATTATGGGGTGAATACTGCATCATTTTTATCTGAAAATTTGCAAGTTTCTTTGCTTTATAGTTTATATTTTTAAATTTTATTTTAAAGAGAAAAAAGATACAGAATTTCAAAAACAAGATAATAAGAAATTGACAATGGTTAGTGTATTGCATATTGTTATCTTCAAGATAGTTGTTCACATTACTAGATATAGGCATGCATAATTGATCAAATAATATAAACACAAACTTTTTTCAATGAACAAAGAGCAGTCAGTAATATAATTATCTTAGCTACCTTTTGTGTATATATATATTTTTCCTTTTCCCCTTCTTTTATCCTTTCCCCCATTATATTTTTAAGTAAAACCAGAGAAAAATAAGATTAATAGTTTCTTCGCATCCATGTTGAGTCACCATGTATAATTATTTTGCTTTGGTTTTTAGATAGCATTATCATTTCAGTCGAAATGCTACTAAATAGGTCAGCAAAGAGTAAATTCATTCATACTTTAAATGTAGAAAAGAGTGTAGCCCTTGGTCAAGACTGGAAAATATTAGAAATCAGTTGAGAATACTTTAAAGACATTCAGAACTAACACGAGGAAATACTCTTCAAGCGGAGTTAAGCATTTCAGCATCTTGTTTCCCACACATCCACCCCGTTTGTTTCCTCACTAGGATACTAAAAGAAAACTTTTTAAGTAAACTCTCGAATGCCTGCAGTCTTGTGTGAGTTTGCTCTGGGCCTGCCCATGAACACGCCATTCTGCCCTTTAAGCTTCATTTCCTGGTCAGGGAATAATTCTGGTGGACAGCTCAGCGTGCCCAGCAGGTGGTTCCAGTTCATTGGCAGCGCCTGTGTGCACTCATTCCACAGAGTCCTGGGTTTCAGATGGGGTACGTGCTCAGAGGCCTGGGCACCAGGAAGCTGGAGTTTTATGATTTAGGCATGTCAGGTTTTGAGACAAGAAGAGACTAGTCAGCTACATTTGTATTTTAAGATTTAAGTAACAGAATAAAGCAAAAGATAAGTGGTAAGAACATACAATTTTATTATAAATAGTAAAGGAAAAATGCCCACCTGGAGGCAGAGTAATAGAAATTTGAGTGTGTTTTAGTGTGGCATGTATTTAATTACTCTGCTTCATACAGTGTACTGTGGGAGAGTTATTTCGTATTATTAGTTAGAGCGGATAATATATGAAGTACTTAGTCTCCCCTGCTTTGGGGATTAGGACGTTTTAAGGGGAATTGAGATGCAATGCACTTAAGTATCTAAAACACAATTTTAGACTTAAAAGTAGTTGTAAATGAGGGCACTTGGCTTGCAATCTCTGTTTAAGTGGATTTAGTTCAATATCAATTAATCTAAAATATGTTGCCACATCATAATAAGGGAGCAAAATGAAATAAAGACCAATAGAAAAAGTCCATGCTCTGAAAACAGGATTGTGAGATGTGAATTTCAGTTGTTCTTAAAAATAGGCAACAAATGCACTTTAAGAAAAACATATTACTGTACTTTTGTAATATACTACACAGCCTTGAAGATGGTGTGTAATTTTTGTGTCCATATGGTGTTTTGATCAAAGAAAATGGAATCAGAATAGAACCTAGGGGCCAGGGAATATAACTCAGTGGCACAGCACTTGCCTGGCAAGCAGGAGGTCCTGAGTTCAATTCCTGGTACACACACACACACACAAAATCCCAGAATCTCACAAATTTTTAAAAGGAGAGAGAGGTGTCTGTTTGCATTGCCTTTTCCCCCTTAGTTATGTCCTTTGTAAGCTAATAATTTAAGAAAATTCACATTCTTCATGCAGAGCCATTCTTCAGAGCTTGCTTTGCTTATTAAGCAGCAGATCAGTGGTACCTCGGTTCATGAACTTAATTCATTCCATGATTCTGGAAAAGATAGTCATGTTTGAGTTCATGCGGGAAGGATGGCCACAATTGTATTCAAAAACAAAATTTTTCCAAATGCCTCTGTTTGCAAACAGAAGTGTTCATGAACCAAGTTACCACTGTATTCAAAACCAGCCATAAGAATTTGGGCTTCACACCTTAAAACAGAAAGGCTCTGAGTACCTGAAACTCCAGGAAACAAGATAGGGATTACCCAGGCTTAGCGTTAGTCATAGCAGAGAGTATTTCTATGCTTCTGTAATTCACCTTCTAGAGAATTTGCCAACTCCAATTAAGGTATATACTGAATCATTTTATTTTTCTCTTCCACAAATACTTGTCATCATACTAGATAAGAAAGTTAAATTGTCCTCTGGAACTGCCTCTTGTAGAACAACCTAATGAAGCAAGGATTGTGAATATGTTCTCATCTCCTCAAACTATTAAAAATCTAAAAGTACTAATTGAGTTTTAATGGCATAAAATCCTGGCATTCACAAAGACTTGCTTCTTCTTCGTACTTTTTTTATTCTTTTCTCTTTTTTTTTTTCTAATTAACTTGTAATTATCTAAGCCTCTTATTTGGCTCAGCTTCCCTCCTGTTTTTGATATGCATTAAAAGCTCCAACCATTTAGCACTTCTGTGCGATTTACCAATTAATAATTAGAAAAGCTCCCTTTCTCATGATGTCCTCATCTGGGACATCATTTGTTGGCTGATTGATTCTGAACTACTTTTAACTTTTTAAGTTAAACATTCATGGCACATCTGTGTGATCATTTCATTGTGGCTTCTTGGCTGATCGCATCAAACTGAGATTACTCGGCTTGCTAATGTCAGTGTCTTGCTATGGGAAGGGAATGTGAATGTATCACTTGCCTCCTACTAAAATGGTTTTTCTCCCTCTCCATCTTTGGCCACAGCTCTTCCATTCCTATCCTCCTGCAGTATCGGGCATCCCCCCCATGATCCCACCCACTGGCCCTTTTGGTTCACTACAAGGAGCATTTCAGCCCAAGGTAAGAACATCACAGTGAAGGCACACAGGTGTGTTTCTAAGGGAGTCGCCTGCCAGGCATGCAGGTGACTTCCATATCTTGCCTGCCCGATGCTAATGGTCACACCGAGAGACTATGGGGATGAGGGTGAGGATGTCTTTTTTTTTCAATCCATCTAGTATGAAACCTCAGCATATACTTTTTGTTTTGATCTATACTACCATGTAATCTCAGCTGCACTAAGATTTTCTCCACTCTGAAATATGCAGAATACATAGTAGACATATATTGTGGGGTTTTTTCAGTACTGTGACAGAAGCGTCTAGTCAGGAATCCCATGAACTGTCAGACACATGTGCACCGAAGTTGTCCTTGATTCTAATAGAAGGGAATTGGGGAACAGAAGTTCCCGAAGTAAAACCGTGTCCTGTGACTGGTGTGGGAAGATTCTGCCGCTTGTTCTCCCCCACCCTCTCACCAGCCCTGCTCTGAACAGGCGCTGCCTGCAGGCCCAGGGCAGCTGCCTGTGTTTTAATGCTGTGTGCCTCTCTGCTGGCGCCCCGCCTTCCACCCCTCACCGTGATCATACCTGCCAAGCTCAGGGCTCTGTCATCTGTTCCCAACATCTTGAGATGAAATTAGGTCCTTACTCTTTATAGCTAAGTTCTTGTGTCAAGGGGATACACTGCTCAGCTTGGGCTGTAGTTACCTCTGAAGGTCAGTAAGGAAGAATAATTTTCAGAATTATTTAAAATTCTATTTTGGTTCCTCTTTTACTTTCATATAAAAAAGTAAAATGTACTTCTCCTACCAGTGACATGTTCAGCTTTTAAAACGAGATAGTTTACTGTGTGTGCTTTTCTTTTTTCCCCTCACCCTATTTCTAAGATAAACATGCATTTTGGGCCGGAATCTCCTAGGAGGAACACATATTGCATTTCCAAAGGCATGCTGCCTTAAAAGTAGAAATAGTGGAAGGAATTAGAAGGCATTGGGGTGGGATAGCTACACCTTCAAACTCACAAGCGTTAGCATGGAATTGCAGTTTATAGGTTGTATATATACATGGGTTTTTATGATGGCCATGGTAAAAGCCTTCTCCCACAAGATAAAATAATGGTAATTGTTAAACGCCTTCCTCCTAATCTACTCTTTACTACTCCCTCAGACCCTGGTCTGTCCCCTCTAGGCTGGGACAAATCTCTAGTGCATCCCCAAACAGACTGGTAGGTCATTTAATAAATTAGACTATTTCCCTTACTCAAAATTATCCAATCACACAGAAAACTACATCTGGGCAAGAAAGTGTCTCTCCTGGTGTTGAAATAGGCCTTTCCAGGCCATCTTCCTGATTGAATATGTAGATTGCGGTTCATTAGTGGAGTTCTTCATATGTATGCAAATCAGGCTGTTAACAACTCCAGCTTAATTGTTAGTTGTACTGCAGCTGATTGCTTTTCTTTCTCTCATTCCTCTTTTCCCCCCTTCTCCTTGTAGGCAAGCTCATGCCTCAACTTGAGCTTTTCTACATGAGTTAACTTGTATGGGGGTATGCATAGAAGTTTTGATTTCTTAAATAAAATAACTGGTGTGAGTTTCTAGATCCTTTTCCCACAAGATGGTAATGACTCTGCTCAAAGTAGTCTCTGTGCTTGTTGCTAATTCAAAGGACAAAAGCCTACTAATAAGGTTAATATTATTATTGATATTTTAAAACGGTAGTGGGAATAAGAAAGACAAAAGCAAAATTTAATAATAAATCTGTGTGGTCCCTAAATTAGGTCCTCTTGTCCCATTTCCACTGCTGCTAATGAGTAATTACTGCGTGTAATTTCTTGTTATTGTCTGCCAGTTAAAATTTAAAGAGTTAGCTTAGTGTCAGTAAAATACTGTCAGCTATTCTGATGAGAGGCACCTGATACTGCAAATTTTAATAATGTTCACTTAAGCATTTCTTGGAATGTTTGGTGCTAAAGCAAAAAAACAAAAAACAAAAACAAAAAAAAACCATGGTGTCAGTGCTGTGGGCTTTGGGAAGAGGAGAGGTTTTAGGGGTAGCATTTCTGTGTGTTACTACTCTTTTGGGTCTTGTGCTTTTTTATTGCTATGAAATATGCTAGGGGTCGGTCTGCTGTCTAGTTCAGACAGATGCCAGGGTGAGTGAGAGCAAACAGTCTGGCCAGAGCTCCTGCAGAAAACAGGGAGCAAATTCTTATAAGAGCATGCGTGGCCACTGAGAAAAATGGGTCTTGACCCAGATTAAAACAAGCCAATAAAGTTTCACTTCTGCTGTTTAGAATGAAGGAAAGATCTTGCTTTTATGTCCCGTGTTCTGTGCTTCCTAAGCTGTGGTCTAATTAATTTGTAGACATCCAACCCTATCGATGTCGCTGCTCGGCCTGGGACAGTCCCACACACTTTACTCCAAAAGGACCCAAGGGTACGTGCAAAGTCAGGCTTGCTCTCAGGTAACACCAGGGGTGTTTGTGCCACTACCCGCCCGGCACTCGTGTCTCCTGCAGCCCATGTGCTTGCAAGAGCTGCTGTTTTCAGCTCTCGCATCGAGTTTGTCGAGGAAGTGCCAGTCAGTCCAGGAGTAAAGGCTGTCCTGGGGCCGTAGGAGTAACAGGAGGGGACAGGTTTGCCCGTGAGCAAAAACAAGAAGGAAGGGCTTACTCAGGTCTGAGCCCAGAAATTGGACACTGCTTGTCTGGTTTCTACTCAACCACTCTTCTCTGTCTACAACTCCTTAAATGTCTCTTACACAGAATTTTTTTGGATGGAAAAACACCAAGTGCTTTTCTTCCTGGAAGTCAGTACCTGAGGTCTAGAAGTTACAGGACTGAGCTGCACTTATGACCCTTTATTTTTAATGTCGCAGGGATCCCTTGTGCTCTAGAGCTAAGTAAAATACCCATTATGCTTTGGTTTTATTATTTATCAATAATTTAGAATATCACCTACCTCCAAAAAAAAAAAAAAAAGAACTTGGAGGCATACAACAGATATACTCTTATCTGTTGAGTACTGTTTATATTTATTTTTATAGTAAATGCAAAAAAATGATTACCTTTTACCTTATAGTAAATGACAAAAAATGATTGTCTTATTCCCTAGGTAAAGACAGAAGTCAATGATGAGGGATAGGTAGAAGTTAAAAATGACTCCACTGAGTATTTTTGTAGCGTTCAGTGAGCTTCTTGAAGACATCTAACACATGTGGGTGATGCACAATAGCAGAAGTGAGGGTGTTTCACAAGAGAGTGTGGTTCTTGCACTTGGAGAGAACAGTTCTCCCTCGGCGGCCTGTAGCAGCACTTACCTCTCAGCCTGGGCCCACAGGCCTGTCTCCTTCTGCACGCCCAGGGTGGTGTGGAAGGCACTCAAGATGGGGTACCCCTGACAAGCAACCCAGCGCATCTGGCCCCTGATTCAGCTCATGCAGGGGTTGTCAGAGTAGATGTTCAAGGCCGGGGACATGGGGGAGGGGACACTTGGTACTTTTGCTAGTGTGAAAATGGGCTAATTATTTTCTAAAAGGGCTTCATTTAAAAGTAAAATTCTAACATTTTAATTTCCCCTCCTAATGAAGCACTACAAATTTGTTAATTAGAGCAATTGTTTGAGTGACAGGCATGTAACCAAGTTGTCATTTTCTCTTCACAGTTGACAGATCCTTTCAGACCTATGTTAAGGGTAAGAAAGCTTCTTCTAGAACTGTTTTGCAACCTCGGTTTGACTCCCTGTGGGTTTAAAATACAAGTCTGTAACAAGAAAATAAGCCTTAGAAATGTTCAAATAAAAGATCCCAATAACAGTGGTTGGGTTTTGCAGGTAGTATAATTAAAAATAGCCTAAATTGTTTTGCTTTGAGTGTTGGAGGAAGCCAGGCCATTGGCTCTTTACGTTCTAAAACAGATAAAATTCAACTGACTCATATTCTGGTGTTAGTAGATCTGCTTAAGGATTTGACTATTTGGATCTTAAGGGGAAGGATTTGAGATAGAGGCTGAAGTTAATCTTTCTTACCCTTAGAATATACAAATGTTGGATCTGTTTGTTTGGCTAATAGCGCCTTTATTCAGAACTAAGTGATGTTGGCGTACCATAACCATTAGACTATTTCTCTGGTGCAGGAAGGGATACTAGAATTGGTTTCTTTAACATCATGTTAGAAGCAAAAATGTTCCCAAGGTCTGGAACCTGACCAGCAGCTGACCCCTGAGTGGACAATGAGTTTTCTGGTGTTGGGCGCTGGGCGCCAGAGACAAAGATGCTGGGTGGTTGGCTGGAAGATGGATGGACAGTACATTTCCTGCTTTACATGATCCATTTCTAGTGCATACTATCAGATAATTCAGTTTTCCTAAAGAGGAAAAGATCTTTGTCAACACTTAGAAGAGGCAATGTGCTGTGATTTTTTTTTTTTTTAATAAAACCATAATTCCATTACAAGAGGAACAAAATGGTTCCAAACTTGAATTTAAGTATATATTTCAGGAACAATTGTTCACTACAAAAACCATAAATTTCTGTCCTTTGCCAGTGTAAAATGGGGCTGTGTTTTCTTCTCATCCACCCCATAGTTACTGAGCATGCACTGGACGCTTAAGGGTAAATCACTTGCCCTCTCATTGATAGAAGAGAATCTACGTGCAGTTACTGTACTGCTCAAAAGCAAGGCAGAAAATAATTAGATTTGGATTGATGTATTACTCCTCAGAGTGTAGAAGAGGGACTTGATATCTGCAGAAGCCTAGAGAGCAGGAAGGAAGGAATTCTTTTCTCTTCTTTTAGCACCAACACAAATGGAGAGGTGGCTCAGTGAAACATTATAGTCCCTGGGCTTCCATGTAAATAGGATGCACTTCTTTATATCACTGTGAGGGTTAAAAGAAAACCGGTCTTAGGGGAGGTTATGACAGGTCCTGTACCCTTTCTTGTTTTGATTTGATTCACAGACATTCCTTAATTAGCTCTTCTGAACAGCTGATTTGCATTACAGCATGGCAGCATTTGTTAAGTAGGACTTCCTACTCTACCAGATCTGCCAGCTGGCACCAGAAAAGAGAGAAAGACACAAAGTGGGCTTTTGCCATCTTGTCCTTGGTAACCAGGACAAGATGGGTTTCCTGAGCTGTAGCTGACATCTCAGACCCATGTGGGAAGAGGGGGCCAGCAAACTGTGACTCTCTCTTGACTGGGCATTGGGCAGTGGCTGATGGGAGGCGCTCAGAGAGGACAAAGCACTCTTGTTGTTTCATAAAAAAAGCCTGCACAGCCAAGATCTGCTGAAAGTATGGGGGAAATTGAAGGTAGTGTCTCTGAAGTGTCTTCTGACCACGCCGCTCTTTCTTGTTCCAGAAACCAGGGAAGTGGTGTGCTATGCATGTTCACATCGCCTGGCAGATTTACCACCACCAACAGAAAGTCAAGGTCAGTTGGACTTCCTGGTTTAGGGGAGAGCTGGGGTGGGAAGGAACGTGTGGAATACCTGAATGAGGAATCTAAAAACAGAACTTAAAAACCCACAGGCAGGGAGGATCAAGTCCCTCTTGGAAAAGCTATTGAGAGATCTTACTAGTAGTTAGAGAAACCACCATCAACATTATAAACTGATAATACCCTGGTATAGTTCTCCTTTTTGATGAATTTGTCATCTTATTGCAAAGGGTTTAAATAGGGCCTAAATCTTAAAACACAGATTTGGGAACTAATTATAGTCAGCTAGAGTTAGATTATGCAAATCAGAAGAGCCAACCACACGAATGTTTTGTTTTGCTTTTAGGTAATGATTCATATACACTTTTCATTTTATGGCTTTGGAAAATGATAAAGGGTAATTTATACCCTACATGAAGAATCCCATACTGAACAGCCCTTAGCAATGCATACAGCTAACAGTTACCCTTCTAGAAGTAGCACTGGGTTTGCAGTGATCTTTCATTAATCCTTCTGGTGACCAGTGCCAGATATTAGAATATAGTCAGTACTACTACCTGCTGGCCAGTTCCCCTGTCTGTAGATGAATTTGTGTGTCTGTGTGTGCACACGCATGTGTGTATTTTATCATGTAGTTGAATATATTGCATGATTTACTGAATCATTATAACACAATAGGGAAAAGAACAGAAACTACAAGGAACTTGCTATGGGGCCAGTGCTTGCCTTAAGGGACAAAGTAACTCAGAAGTCCAGATTTTAAGACTAGGTAACCGTTGCTGAAAAATGGTAGAAAACATCCAATCAGGTTATTCCAATAAGCTTTGGTTAATCTGCTGCATCCTGAATAAGCTTTTATCACTTAATCCATTGGTTCCATGAACAAGCTGTGTGTCCTAACAGCATGTGAGAGCCATCGTGAAAGTGGTCCAAGAGGCCACTCGGCAGTAAAGAAGTGTGACTCATCAGAGAAGTGCGCTTGGAAGAGTGCCCCGACTCCCTGAGAAGGAATGCAGTCATTAACAGAAATGGAAATGAAACAAAAACCTAGTTAAAAGAGGAAAAGCCAGTCTCAGTAAATGAGCAAACCTCCCTACGATATTTCACTCTGGTTGCCAGACACCTGCTCTTTTTCCTACTGTTCCATCAGTGAGTTTTGTTCACTTTTATTTTATTGTTAGGCGAGGTTTAATTGGAAACCTTATGGCTTAACTTCTCTCTAGGAAATGCTTGTGCTCTGAAGAGCTAACTAGATTTAGATGATTAGCTCAATTCACTTCTGGTTCTGGATGGCGTGGTTAGCAGAACGGTAGATGAAACATGTCTCCCTTTTAGCTCCTTAGGGTTAGAGCAGTGAAAGATGTTGTGTGTGCCACTTTAGCAACTTCTTTTCCATAAAAATGCCCTCAGTGACTTAAACTTTCATTATGCCAGTTCAATTAGCAAGACGTCTTGAATGTGAGATAACTCCGTTCATCTTTCCTACCCTGCAAACTGTTTGTAATCCCCAAGCTCCATTTTGCTTCATGGACCTAAGTTGTGTTTAATGAGACTGTGCTGTGTACCATGCAGTAGTAGCACTAAATAATTTGGCAACCAAATTAAAGGAGATACTCAAAAGATTTTTACAGATTTATAGTGGATTAGAAACTTGGTTTGGGGATTTGGCTATTACTTTACAATGGGACTTTCATTAGAGTACTCCCTGTAGATCTTGGCAGAAATCATATCGTTCCCTTTCTCTTTAACATTCATTTACTCATTCTTTTAGTGACTCACCAAGTGCTTACTGAGGGTCTGCCACCCTCGGGTTACTTAGCATGCCGGCTGAGGGCACTCATCTCTCCTGTGGTCTGGTTCCCTAAGTGTCAGTAGGGAGGCTCAGTGCACATATGCACTGATGACAGAGGTGTCCTGTATTTCCAAAGGCTGTTGCTTCCAGCATGAGGTGCTGGGCAGGTTTCCTTTTAAATAGGGCAGTGGATGATTAGCATTTTGACCTTCAGCAATCAAGGAATGGGAAACTTGCCTCACTTCGGACCCTTACTGCATGCTATATCCATGTAGATGCTTCGTCGGCTCTGTCATTGCACAGTGGGGCAGAGATCACTCAGAACATAGGACAGCTTGAGGTGGGGTACGAATGGGGCCAGACAACATCAGACAAGTCTGAGAAGTTGGAAGAGTGAGTCAGAAGCAGGCTGAGAGCAGTGAAGGAGCTGGAGCGCGGTGGGAAGGCAGCTCACAGCCTCAGATCCCAGGATCCTAGGCCACCAGAGGGAGGCATGAAGCTGATTCCCAGAAGAATCCAGAAGATGGGGCAACTGTGAAGCCATTCAAGGATGCCCACCTCTAGAACGCAGCCCTGAAGGGGATTACAGGCAGTGTCTACAGACTTAGAGGCCGGTGAGCTTCAGGATTAGCTTCAGGGTGGATGATGAGGACTTCCCAAGAAGAGGGTATGGACTGATGTCCTCCTCCTCTTCGGATAATTGGGAATAGCAGGAAAAGGAAAGGCCTATTAGTTAAATCAATACCTTTCCTTTGTTTCATTTGTTGTTTTTTTTTAAATATGCAACAGTGATCATTTGAAAATTAGCTTGTAGGCATGGAGATATTTCTTCATAATGTTCAGTTACTAATGTGCTGTGATCCATTAGAGTAAGACAAACTCATTAAACAATTAATTTACACAATAGATTATTCATCCAGAATTCCTAATAAAATGAGCCTTAAAGTATCATCATTTTAAAACTTGCTAAAATGGTCCTTTATAACAAAGTAATAAACTACTCCAGGAGTATAGCCAGTTTGAATAAATAGGACGTGGTCTCCTTAATCCTCGCAGCCTCAAAGTCAGAACACTCGCTTGCCTCTTGCGGTCTGTGATGTAGAGGTAGGCACTGCCGTCCTCTGCTAGGTGACCCTGCTGTCCTGCCCCATGAAGGTTAATGGGTTCTGGGTTGCTTCATCTCATAGTCTTTGTGAACTTGAATCCGACCGCGGTTCAGTGCCCAGTGCACCATTCACAGAGACTCTTGGTTAATATCTTTCTTGGGATTTCATCTTTGTTCCCCCTGCTGTTTTAGAAACAGATGCAGTCAGAGCCACATAAGTTGGACTTCGGACTGAAACCTGAGTTCCTGAGCCGCCCTCCAGGCCCCAGCCTCTTTGGAGCTATCCACCATCCCCATGACCTGGCCCGGCCTTCAACTTTGTTCTCTGCCGCTGGTGAGTTCAGAGTAGGAGAGGAACTGAGAAAAGCGGTTCTCCAATAGCTAAGTGAATTCTGTGCGGGCTGGCTGAAATGACACGCCCAGCACATCACAGGGCAGATGCACCTTCTTTCATTAAAGAAGGAAGAACAGATCATCTTCCTTTATGGGGACTCAATGCTTCAGCTTATTATTTACATCTATATCAAACGAGTGTAACTCACGGGCATGCCAGATGCTAGTGAAAACAATCATGAAGCTTGCAAGGGCGAATCGGAAGGAAATAGTGCCAGGGATTGTAGAAGGACGTGGTCACACTGCGTTCCTGGGATCCCAAGGGTAAAGGAATGAACGACACGATAGCTGCAGACAGTCTGCAGGAAGGAAGGCTGTGACCCCTTGGGTACGTCCTGGCTGGGCACAGAACTTAACATTGCCTGACTGGGTACAGTGCTGGAAGACATGTAGGGAGAAAAGGGTCTGCTTATTAGACCTGTGACTTGTCCATTGGATCTGTAACTCGTTAGACCTCTGAGAACACATACTACCGAGAGTCCTGTAGGTGTACCGGAGGAAGCACTGGGGAGCAGAGCAGGGGAAGTGCATCCGGGACTGCCTCGCTGGCCAGGTATGTGCAGTCAGAAGCCAGAGGCCCTCTGGAGTAATCAGTGGATGGGACAGCCCCCTCGGTACTGAGCTCCGTGGCATTCAGCCTTTCCTAAAGTGGTTTTTCATACACACTCCCTCACACAGCCTCTGCTTGGTGAATACTCAAAAACAGTGGCGTTGAACTTGTTCTGGTAATGAGCTCCATAACTTTAACCCACGGCACTAAGTAGAATTTATTCTTCTGGACATCAATAGTGAGGGGGCCTGCTGTTTCTGAACCTTAGGGAACAAGTGTCATATCCATCCCACCAGCTGCCTCCCAGGCTTTGATCCCACACTCAATTTTGGTGGACCCATGGCTCTTCCATTGAGAAAAAGAAACAACCCACATTGCAAGAAGTCATCATTATTGTGGACAAGGTCCACAATAATTGCCCTTGAGGGTAGATGAAATTTGCTAAGACCTCAGGTTTTTCTCTGTCAGTTCTGTCTAGGGACACATTTGAAGGCATTGTTACCGTGGCACCTAGCTCTGAGACAGGGCTACATTAAGAGCCGTTTTTGGAGAAAAATGGAGAAATTTCTTCTTGGCTTTCGTTTGAGCTCAGTAGATGAATTGGCTTCTTTTGCCTCAATAATTCTGGAGCTGTAGGCATCCCTGGAGGCCTTGGGCTGAGCCAGGCTCTGGTCTTCATTGAAGCTTAATTGGCTTGCACCACACAGATAGGGTGACTGGCAACACTGGTGGTGCCTGATGAATGTTCTGGAGTAGATTCACCCTGTGGAGAAGGGGGTATCACTTAATACTTCCCAGGCGGAAAGTAAGCCACTGTCTGGGGCTGGATACCTTCAGCTTTTATGATTCTGTCACAGTGACTGATGTTTCTCTCTTACTGTGTATCTTACTGTCCTGCCCTAGGCACATAAGACCTTCACAGTCCAGGACAGCAGTAGAACTTTTAAATGGAGTTAATAAGAGTACAGGGAAGGACAGACCTCCCACGTTTCATCTGTGTTCCTAAGGGAATTTATATTTATTTATAGGACCTTAGAGAAAATGTAGGAGATTGTGAAACTTTCTTAGTAAGCTAGGAAATCCAAGTCTTGTTTATACTTCCATTTTGGAAGGAAATCTTTTTGCAGTAGCGGTATTGGGTTTTGTCCAAAATGGTTATTTGGTAAAACTTGTAACTGGTATGTATAACTTCCACATACTTTCTTCTGCTGTTGGGTACTAAAGCATGAAATCCACTAGGAGCCTTCTTGAGGTGACCTTGGTAGCACTCCGGTCCCCAAGTTCCCTGCCCACTGTGCAGTGTGTTCACGAGGCTGATGCCCAGAACTCTTAGAAACACTGCCTTCCCCTCCTCGGATGCCCACCATCTTTCATTCCTTTCCTAGCATCCTTCAGGAAAGAGGACTGGAGGCAACTCAAACAAGTGTGTGTTAGAGAAATGTGGAGGACAAAATGGAAACAAAGGGAATATGTAAGCAAAGAAGGCTTCCAAGTTAGATCTTTTAATTCCTGGCAGGCAGAGTAAAGATAAGTCAGCTTTACGTGTTTTGATGAATGTTTGATGAATAAAGCAGCATTTCCTGGCGCTGAGAATTGAGAGACATCAGACCCCCTCATTTCCCAGAGCCCCATGTAACTTGGAGTGGACACTCTCCTAGGGAAAGAATCAGAACTCTTGGAGGCCAGAGCACTGCAGCCAGACCACCCTTGTGAACCCAGTATTTCTCCAGACTTCCGCGGCCACAGTCCTCGTCCTCCAACACCCCCCCACCCCCTGCAGTCAGCACCGTGTTTCTAATATTAAAAAGCAGAGCCAGTTTCAGTGGTGGTCAGCCCCACTAGGAAAGAGGAGCGAGGTGGTTTGCTGTCTGCTTCTTCACCAGGACATTTTCTTTGACCCATGGCATTGCCTGCAGGGCCCTGGGTGGACCTTAGCCATGTCTCTACATTAACATTCATCCTCGTGGACCCCCAGCAAGCCGAGGACGAGCTGCTTTCTAGATCATGGCTTCTATGACAACTGACTTGGTTCTGTTTGACTTGATAGGTGCTGCACACCCAACCGGAACCCCCTTCGGGCCACCTCCTCATCACAGCAACTTTCTCAACCCTGCTGCTCACCTAGGTGAGTTGGCTGCCAAGGCAGGAACTGATGTGTGTGCCTGAGATCCCCGGCTGTGTTTCTGGTGTTCCTACTTCACTTGGTGGTGTGTCTGTGACAGTCCCCTCCACCTCACCCACTGAGGGATCAAGATGCCTTCAACAGGTGCCACCACCTTTAGGGTACACACCACTGTCCTTCGGAGATAGACCTGCACTTAGTCATGCTTCTGTCTGGAGTTAATCAGGGTGCCATGATGGGGAAGCCCTTCGGGGTATTTCAGGACCCCGACCTTACACTGGTTGGCCCTGTTCTTTGGAGGGAGATGGTGAAATCTCATCCCATAGCTAAGGGCGCCTCTGGGAGATGGAAAGAAAGACAAAGTGATGTTATAAAGGCTTCTTTATTTTGGTTATCTCACACTTTATTGCCCTATTAATGTGTCTCTTCCTAGGAAAGATTTGTGCTTCCTGTGGTCTTTATGATCTGGTATTTTTGGCCAGCACACAGCAGATGCTGGCAGTGGTGGTGGGCATAGCAACAGGCTGTAGATGGGTCTTCATCACCTAGAGATTTACTCTAAGATGATTAGAGCCTGGGAGAGGGGAGGCCAGGGCAGGAAGGTGATGGAAACTCAGCATGTGAGCCTTGTTCCCCTGGGCAAAGGAGGAATGAGGCAAAGTGCAGCAGCATTCTAGAAAAAGTGCCCTTGGAAACATTTTGTGCACCACTCCCTAAATCTCAGTGCAGTAAAAACCTTTCCTCGGGCTGGGGAGTTAGCTCAGTGGCTTCAGCCCTTTCCTGGTGAACACAAGGCTGTAAGTTTGATCCCTGGTACCAAAAACAAACAAACAAACTAACTAACTAACTAACTAAAACCTTTCCTCCAGTACAGCAGACTACAGAGCCGTGACCATTTCCTTCTTCCCAATCTCATTTGCAGAGCCTTTTAATCGGCCATCTACGTTCACGGGCCTTGCAGCAGTCGGTGGCAATGCCTTTGGGGGACTTGGAAACCCCTCAGTTAGTGAGTACCTCTAACTTTTCAAATCTGCCTTAGACTGTTTCTCTCCTTTGACCTGCATATGGTTCCAGACCTTTTTAGGTAAAAGAAACTGTATTCTTGGGAAATGGACCTAGGTTCTGTCATTGTAAAAAGCAGGCCAGAGCAGTGGGGCACCGTTAGTCACCACTAGATACAAGTGTGCAAAGCCACCACTCTAATCAGTCAGTGTGTGGCGCTCAGTGTCAGGACGGGCAGTGGAGCTGCTTACTCTACTGCTGAAAGCTTGTATAGGCTTATAGTTCATCTAAATCCCATTTCCAATGTTTGAGATTTTGGCTATTGCTTACATTAGACATAAAAACAACTTTTAAAGTTTATCTCACCTTTGGCACTGGTGGACTTACAGAAAGTACACTGAAGGGTAGCAGACTCAAAATAAAGAGCTGGCAGCACTTCATACCCGGGATCTGGGGGAACCCGGCAGGTTTCTACACTGGAATAAGATGAGAATGGCAACCCTCACTCATGTTCTGGGCAGGGGTTAGTCACCAGATCCTCAGCTCGATTTTCTGATGCTACATTTATTTCCTATTTCTCGAGTACAGAAGACCTAAGATGTAGCTTGGAGCCCACCGTCACCATGAAGTTTCAATTTAAAATTCAGCATAGTGACCTTACGTATCAGATCAAGTCAGGGTCCTGTGTCATCTCGGGGACACTGGTTTCAATGTGCTAATGCTGGAAAGAGTAGCGGGCAGCTTAGCAGGACAGGTAGAGGTTCTACTTGGAGCTGAGTTTCCAACCTGAGTCACCCCATCATCATACACCTCCTGCATGCCTGGAACTTCTGCATGCACCGGTATGTTTGATTAGGCGGAAATGACACCTGTTCATTCCTCTTCATCTTTAATCCCTCACCCCCACCCCCACCCCACATCTGCTTTTGGACTTATTTAAAGAAAAAAAAAAAAAAAAAAGAAAACTGAGCTACATCTCCAGTGTAGGACAAGAGTTCCTCTAATGAATTTGTTAATCTCCTTTCCTTTTCCAGCTCCCAATAATATGTATTCATTTTAACTCTGAATGCTGTTAAAAGTTTTTTGGTAAGTACCTTCATTACAGCAGATTATATAATTTCTCTTAAACCTTTTTGTTCTCCACTTCACCATTTCAGCACCCAACTCAATGTTCGGCCATAAGGATGGCCCCAGTGTGCAGAGCTTTAGCAACCCTCACGAACCCTGGAACCGGCTGCACCGAACGCCTCCGTCGTTCCCGACCCCTCCGCCCTGGCTGAAGCCAGGGGAGCTGGAGCGCAGCGCGTCCGCTGCAGCTCATGACAGAGATAGAGATGTAGATAAACGAGACTCATCTGTTAGTAAAGATGACAAAGAAAGGTACGGAAAGAAACCGCTCTCGAGTCCCCATGGGGGAGCCCGCTCTGTGCCACGTACCAATGGAACTGGCCACCCACCCTCCCCGTCCCAGCCTCCAGCTTCAGCTATCCAGGACTCCCAGCACCCTCTCAGGCAGCAAGGTCCCCTGGAGCCAGCACCCCAGGGCATTCAGTGTGCAGTGACCTCAGAATAGGACTCTAGTGCAGTGAGAGACACAGACCATGCAAAGTCCCTCAAGGATTAAGATGTCCAAACGGAGATCTTCCTCCGTGAGACAGAGTTGGAACTTTGGACCAAACACACACAGCATGAATCAATGCCATATTTGCTTTCAAGTTTGTGTAGTCCATTCAATCATCCATAGGTTTTTTATCTTTCTCTCTTTTTGTTTGCATTTAGAAAGTCATGTTTGCATTATCTCATCATATTTTTCTCAAGTTTTGTTCAAACTCAAAGCCTGGGACTCACAGATAACCAATAAACTCTCACTAACCTAAATCTAGAGAAATGCCAGCAAGCAGTTTGGGGTTGGTTTCACCAGTGGATAATTAATTTTATTAACCATTATTATTTCAGTACAAGGTAACCCCTGCCTAAAAAGAAGTAGCCTTAAAGAGGAAGTGGCTTGTAGGATTTTTTCTGAAGATTATCCTAAGCGTTCTTGACAGTCTCTCTTCTTTCACACACTATATTCCTTCTGAATGAACTGGTAAGCAAGGAATGCACCACATGTGCTTAACAAGAAATACCTAATGACCGCTTACTTAAGCATCAAGGCCAATCCGAGTCTTTCATTTTTCTTTACTGTATATGCTTTGTGTATGTGTGTGTGTCCTGAGAATTGTTAAATGAGCAGCTCTGCAGGCCGTAAGTGTGGCAGATTGGCAGCAGGCCATCAGGCCAGGCTGATGTATTCCTTTCTTATAAAATAAAAAGATAAATTTCCTGTCAACTCCGTATGATGGAAGTTCTCTTCCCCAGTGAGGAGACACCCTTCAGCTCTGAGCTGTAACCTGGCAGAGAAAGGCAGCCCAGGGCAGCCAAGCGCCATCCACTGCGCTCCCAAAGCTGAGCAGAGTGTAGGGTGTGGCCGGCGGAAGCTCTCAGACTCGTCCTGATGACATCATAATGGCCTCTTGCACTGAAGTTGAAACTTATAAGCCTAAAACATCCTCTTCTGACTTTCCCTTTAAGGTCATCCTTCTCAGCCTTTGCGTGTTGCAGGAAACAGTTCTCCTGTGGGGGCACCTCCTCAGTTCTCCCCCTGGCCACCGGTTTGCCCACAAGGCACCTTGCTTCTCTCTTCTTCCCTCCCTTTGTGGGCTGTCTCCAGGCTCTGGTGAGACTCACCTGATTCTTCATCTTAAGTCTCCAAGTTTTACTTTGTCCTGCATTCTCTGTCCCCATCCAAGGCAGGACTCTGGCCCTGTTCCTTGCCTCTAGATGGATACTCTCTCACTTGTCCTGTTTTCCCCACAAGGTTGTGTGTTTGTGGCCCCACTTTTCCGACTGCAGTGCCTCCACCCACTGGCCAGATTTTGGCTCCCTTATCCTTTGCCACTCGAGAGTCCAGGAAAACGGTTTCCTTTCAGACTTGTGCTGTGTCTTAGAGCTTGTTCTGTGTTGGCATCCTTCCCTCTGCAAAGAGACCTCTGATCTGAGAGTCTGGCCCAAGACGCCCTGAATGTTTATGGTAAACTCTGCCTTCCAGGGCTACCTGTGCACTTGGAAGGAAGTAGTCCTTGCATTTGGGCCCTTAGGTTGTGACTCTTAACTCTCAAATTGATCCCATCCTGAAAGTCTGGGTACCACATACCCCCTGGGGGCCGCCTAGGCCTGGCCTGACCTGGCTCTGAAAGTTCTCCGATCCTGACTGAGGCACATGACTCTTAAACACAGACAGAGAAGTGTCCCCCTAGACTCTGAGCTGCCTCGGCCCCAGTGCTTCACCCCACTAAGCTTCCACTGAAATCCAGGTGCTCAGATCGGGGCTGGAGGGACAGCTCCGGCCGGCCCTTTCCACCGCCATCTCATTGCAGCCCCTTGTCCCCGTAGCAGGCCTGCTTCATTCGTGTCCTGTGTCCCTCTTTCCGCCCCAGGGACAGCGTTGAGAAGAGACACTCCAGCCATCCTTCACCAGCACCTATCCTCCCGGTGGGCGCCCTGGGACATAATCGCAGCTCTGCCGAACAGATGAGGGGTCACTTGAACACCGAGGCTCGCGAGAAAGACAAACCCAAAGAGAGGGAGCGAGAGCACTCGGAACCCCGCAAGGACCTGGCCGCCGAGGAGCACAAGGCGAAGGAGGGCCACACACCCGAGAAAGACGCGCACGGTCACGAGGCCCGCGCCACGGGAGAGGAGGCAAAGCAGGGGCCCCGCGTGCCCTCGCCCTTCGCGCGTGCCCCCGCTGCGGATGGCGCCCGGCCTGGCAGCACGTCCAGCCGCGAGGCCGAGCCACGCAAGGGTGAGGTGGCCTACGAGCACCCCAGGAAGAGCTCGGAGGTCAAGGTGAAGGAGGAACGCAAGGAAGACCACGACCTGGCGCCTGAGGCTGCCGCCGCCACGCAGGCCCACCGGGCCTCGGAACCGCCGCCGCCCAGCTCTTCAGCGGGCGTGCACGCAGGGCCGCTGGCATCCATGCCAATGACGGTGGGGGTGACAGGCATCCACCCCATGAACAGCATCAGTAGCCTGGACAGGACTCGCATGATGACCCCCTTCATGGGCCTCAGCCCCATCCCGGGCGGCGAGCGCTTCCCGTACCCCTCCTTCCACTGGGACCCCATTCGGGACCCCCTGAGGGATCCCTACCGGGAATTGGACGTGCACCGCAGGGACCCGCTGGCCAGGGACTTCCTGCTGCGCAGCGACCCGCTGCACCGACTCTCTGCCCCACGGCTCTACGAGGCCGACCGCTCCTTCCGGGACCGGGAGCCCCATGACTACAGCCACCACCACCACCACCCGCACCCCCCGCTGCCTGTGGATCCACGGCGCGAGCACGAGCGGGGAGCGCACCTGGATGAGCGCGAGCGCCTGCACCTGCTGCGCGAGGACTACGAGCACCCACGGCTGCACGCTGTGCACCCCGCCGCGCTGGACGGACACCTGCCGCATCCCGGCCTGCTGGCGCCGGGACTCCCGAGCATGCACTACCCCCGCATCAGCCCGACTGCGGGCCACCAGAACGGGCTGCTCAACAAGACCCCACCCACAGCGGCGCTGAGCGCACCCCCACCGCTCATCTCCACACTGGGGGGCCGCCCTGGGTCCCCGCGCAGGACTACCCCGCTGTCGGCGGAGATCCGGGAGAGGCCCCCCTCCCACACGCTCAAGGACATCGAAGCCCGGTGAGGGGGACAGGAAGGCCTGGACATGGGGCGAGAGACACACAGCGAGTGGCCAAGGCACTCCCGCCTCCCTCCCACTGCGGGCGGGCGAGCAGCCCCATTCCGCCCCTGTACAGTGTACAGACTCCGCGCAGATTTTGAAATGTTTTGTATATTATATGTTGAAATTTTTCAGATCTTTTAGCCAACTCGTATGTCCTCATTTCTCCTCTTTTTTGTTCCTTACATGAAACTTTTTGATTTGAACCAAAACAGTGACGAGGACAACACACACCAGTCAGGTGATAATTGGGGGGTGGGGGAGCCCCCGCGATCAGTCACGAGAGCTCTTTCAGATGGGAAGGGAAGGCCGTGTGTACATAGCGTGTAAAAAAGATTGCTTCATGAGCTGATGGTTCATATATGCAAAAGGGTAAGATGAAAGCTTTACTTTGTACAGATGTAAATAGATAAAGATTAAGTAACATAATACATTAATACTTCTTAAAATGTGCTATTTGCAAACCTGGTATCAGTGAGCACAGTCCGCTAAAGCTGTGTTCCCGTATATTGTTATAGACAGCTAAACCCTTCAACTATGCAATGAATGTTAGGGCTTTTCACAAAAGCCTGCCTAACTTAAAGGAGCCTTTTCAGATCCATTTACAACATACTTAAGGTCATATTTTCCCTAAACAAGCGCTTACGGTGATACGACTCTGTTTTCCTTGCTTGTTTTTTTTTCAAATGGAGAAACACCCTACTTCGAAAAGTGGACCCCAGGCTGGAACTTTGAAGTTGCTGCCTGGGGCTGGGGAGGCTGGGGGGATGCACCCCGGCTAGGTAACTGAGGACAGGAGCAACCAGTGCTGGGGAAGATGGGATTGTCAGACGCCAGGATCAGGGGGCACGTGGAGGTGTCCGTGGGAAGCAGGTTGCCAGAATCTTCTCACCGCCAGTCAGGTGATTCCACACACACCTCACGAGGGAACCATTCCTTTTTTAGTGTGTCCTAATTCATATCTGTACACACTTCCTCATTTTGTAATGCAAGTTAATGACATCCAAACAGATCCTGAAAGAAAGCTTCAAGTTTTCTCAGATGATGGATGTGTTTCACTGCTGACGGATTTAAGGCGCACGTTTCCCAGTGTGACTCGTGGTATTCCAGTTAGTCTTTATGAGACTTTATTTCTGGGAATAGCTGAAACAGGTCAGCCTCGTGCAGCCTTCGAGAATTACAGAGGGTGAAAGGTGGCAGAGAAAAAGTCTTGTATGTGCGTGTGTTTTTGAGTTGGCATCAGTCTTATTGTCTCTTCATGATACTTTTATAATGCATTAAGCCTCTTGTCTACATACTTGGAGAGAATATGACTTTACTAGCAGAGAAATACAATATATCTTGTCTACTGGACTGTAAAATACATGTATGAAATAAAATTAGTTCCATTTGGTCTTCTAGTATATTAAAGTGCTATCTGACGTTGTTATCCTGTTTTTGCAAAAAAAAAAAAGTTAACTACAGACCATTGTTTCTAATAAGCAGAGAGATCTATTTTAGTAGTAAACTGAAGGTTTAGTTGTGAGCTTCAGATTTTGTGAACACCAGATGTTGTGCAGTGTTTTTTTTTTTTTTTTTTTTTTAAGGCAACTGAAAAAAAAATCCAAGGAATATGTACACTGGAACTGTAGTGGTAGCTTTCGGTATTGTAAAGAGATTGTTCTATCCAGACCTTTGCTGTTAATCCTGTATGTAATAAAGTCCTTTCTAGATCCTATGTGAAAAGAAACGTGAAGCGACTGAATCTTCAGCATGTTCTCATCGGCGGAGCCTCCTTGTGTTATGTAAACTGTGCCATGTCATTAAAAATGTGAACCAAGCTTGCCGCTGCTTGTCTGTGTGAGATGGCCACCCTTGCTTAGGGAAGAAGCCACGCGTGCGCAAGAAACACCTCGACCTGGAGGCTCCCCCACTGGGCCGGCCACTCTCCCCAGCTCAGTTAGTGACCTGCCAATTAGTTTTTCTAGACATTCGCACCTCACACCATGGGTTATGGATTCTTTTTTCTTTTGTGTGTTCTGCACATAATGCTGTAAAAGTCCGGGAAGCTGTCGCTGGGTCTTGCAGTAGACGAGCCCATGTGTGGGCCAAATGAGCAAGTGCCATTTGTGTCTCGAGCCTGCTCCATGCTCATGGCAGAAGCCTTTGCCGCGTCCATCTGCGCTGACGAGAAACCCGATGCAGGTCCTGACCACCGTGCTCGCCGATCTGTGGACTCCATCCTTCGATTCTATGTTCCAGATACTTTGTTTCTGTGTCTCAAATGATGGTGGCATATCCCTCATCCGTCTGCAGACTTCTTCCTGTCCTCTAAAATCTGTTTTGTTTTGTTTTTTAAGATGTTAAAAAAAATTGTTAAAGTTTCTTGTATCAACATGATGGAATCGCTGTTTGGACTGGAGTCTGTATCCTACTGCATAAAGGCCAGCAGTGGCCAGGGCTGGCAGAGTCTGGGAGGCTGCTGAGTGGGCATGAGGAAGGGATAGAAACGGAAATGGAGGGCTCTGGGTTGGGAGGTGGGGTGCTGTGGACTCCGCAGCTCCCTGGGGAGCTGCCCAAGGCCAGGCATGCTTAGCCCTGATGTGGAAATGGGTGGGACTCTCAGGTCTAATTGTGGGTGTCAGTAAAGACCCTCTTCTCAGCACCATGTTATATCTTAAGACCTGACTGTAGGATTTGGAGAAAATCATGAAGCAAAGCTAGTGGGTTGGAAAATACGATAAATGCTGTGTTTTTCCAAATCCAGCAGTGCCTGGGACCTTGCAGACAGTCCCAGTGGCGGCTTGATGAACTATTTCTGGCAGACCTCACTGCCTTCTATTGTACACCTATTTTGATGTCACCATCTGCAATGTCAGAACGTGGAAGAGTCACTCTCCAATCAGTCACGGTATTTAATCCCCAGGGCTTTATTCATCTCAACCTTTGCATATTTTCCCTCTAATTACATTCAACGCCTCAGCATTGATGGGTACCAGCACCAATTTGATTTCCTGCTAACCTATAGATGCTCTAATTATCCCCACAATCTTTTGACTGACAATGATCTTGTTACCTTCTAATGGTACATGACAAGTAAAATAGCGAATATAATGATGCAATAATTACCACTCTGGATGGATATTTGCAACAGCACTCGCTGTTTATCCTTTTTCTGCCTCAGTCAAGGTGGGTGAGGGGAAATAAGATGCAATTCTCGATGTTCTAGACATTTATAGCATAAAAAGAGGGTTAAGCGATCATGTGCTAAATCAGCCATGGCGGAGTGGAATGCTCAAGACCTCTTGTGAGCTAGTGTGTGTAGGGTACTAGAAAATAAATTAGGCCAACCATGGCATTAAATCAGTTTTAAGAAAAGAGACAACAAAAATGACATGGCCTTTTCCTGTGCAATTTTTAAAACTGTCAGTGCTTTTTGTGTGGGTGTGTCTTTCTGAAAATTGTGGGAAATTCCCTGTAGGTAGAGTTCTTGGGGCTGGGAGACCAGAAGCTTGAGATAAGAAGGGAAATAAGCCCTGGAAGGAATCTGTGGTCACAAGAGCTGGATTCGCCCCTGCACCCTCTGACCCCAAGCAAACTGAGCTCAGTTTCCCAGTATGGAATGAGACCGTCCACAGCATGGGGCATCAGGACGGAAGGTGTGAGCCCTGTGTGTGACAGCACAGGACACACACATCACATGCTGTCCCCAAGCTTTCGAGAATTGTAGGCTGGGTAGAGAATGGTCCATGCCCAGGCTGAGCACCCCCAATCACACGCCAAACAGTGGAGAAGCAGGAACTTGGGCTCCCGGACTTTACTGCAAACCTCCTTTTCATCCCAGCGCTCTGCAGTTCTAAAACCCTACAATCAAAATGTTTAAGTGTGGTCATCTTCCCACTTCAGACCTATCCATCATCACCCCTTTCTAAACAGTTTTCTTCTTTTCCTCTGCATGACCATCAAGAATGCAAAGATTCAGTTTTAAAATTAACAGTTTTTGGAATTATATGAACCATAGATAACAATAAGCAGCATTTTATAACTATTTTGAGTTTATTTTTTTGAGACAGGATCTCACTATGCGGTTCAGTCTGGCCTTGAACTCCTGACAGTCCTCCTGCCTCACCCTCTTGAATGCTGGGATTACAAGTGTAAACCCCTATATCCAGCTCCGTATGCAACAATTTCTTAAAAAGAGATTGGCCCATTCAAAAGGGAAAATAACTTTTTAAAAACAAATGCAGCCCCAATTATCACATTGCCTAGATTCTTGCTAAAGACTTGGGGAAATGCTGGCAAGTGGGCTGGTGGGTCCAAGGTCTCTGACTCAGGTATTCCTCCTCAGTGGGATAAGGCGTGCATAGGTCAGGTCCTCAGGTCCTGACATAGTTGGGGTGTCCACCTGCTGTGTACCCAAGATGTTTGTGGATTCCCTAGTGTACTGCACACAGACATTAGGCCCTTGGGTGGTGTTGGGGGTGGGATTCCCTGGAAGAACACGGAGCCAGAAGCCTTCAAAGCCATGTTTGTGTCCCAGGCAGGTGGTGGGCAGATAGGCCTCAGCTTCCACATCCATCATTTGAATTCATTCATTGATTGCTAAAGGCTTCCTCAAGTCTGGACTTTCTCTGCTGGCCTCAAGATTACTTTTTTAAACTGAGTTTTCTTCTACTCTGAATTCCAGCCAGGCAAGTTGATTCACCACCTCCATGCTTCCCAAAACCCCTGGGCTCCAAACCCTGCTACCAAGTCCATGTCCTGTCCAAAAATCCCTACTCTAGGGGCCCGCTATGGTGGCTTCCTCTCCGCCTGTGCCCTCTCTGCTCAGCCCTCCTGACCTGGTGTTCACAGGGCCTGTCCACTGGGGTCCTGCTCACATGGAGGCCTGAGCACTATGCTGTAGTCAGGTTGGTTGGAAGAGAGGCTGCCCCAATCCAGGTTTGGAGAGTTAAACGCCGCTCAGTGCTGGTGTTCAGACTCTTGGGCTGTGACCTACATGCAAACCTGAGGTAAATCTGATGGAACAATACCTTCCTGTGCAGGAAACCAAGATTTTTTAATGCCATTTTCTCATAATTCATGTTTTAAAAATACTAATACAAACCAATACTGCTTCTCATGACCTCTGAGGGTCTCAACCCTTGGTTTGGACTGTGTGACATGGAGGAAAACTCTCCAGGAGTGAAGGAGGGTGGGCAGTCTAGGACCAGTGCTGTCTGCCTCTCCATGCACTGGCTGGTCCCACCAGCCTCGTATATGACCATGACCCACTGTCTTGCCTGTCCACGCTGCCTGCCAGCTCCTCTTTCATCTCTTCCGGTCTCCAACCATCTTCTACATCACGAGCCACCAAGTAGACCCCAGACTTCACACCTGGTCTTGCAGCCCAGCACCTCTGGGCCCGGAGACCTACCAGCGTGGTCCCCCACATGCCAGCCGCATACCTGCTCCCCACCACACATGGCCTCTCCCCTGGCCGAGTCCTCACTCCTGCAGAGCTTCACCTCCACAAAGCCCTCCTGAGCTCCCTTCCCACCCGCAGTTACTTGTTTGGACCAGTGGTTCTCAAAGTGCGGTCCCTGGACCAGTAACATCAGCAGGAAACTTGTACAAATTCTCTTAGAGACTTCAAAAGACCTTGCTGACAAATCAACAAAATAGGACTGGGGGTGTAGCTCAGTGGAAAGGCCTCGGAGTGAACCCCCAGTGCTCCAAGGAACAAAAAGTACCAATTCTCAGCAGCCCTGTCGGCCTGCTAAATTCAAAACTGGTTTACCCAGGCCTTTGGGTGATGCTGGGTTACAAAGTTTCAGTAATACTTAAACCACGTGGAAAGGACAAAGGTCAGGCCAGGGGTATAGCTCAGCGGCAGAAGCACCTGTCTGGCAATCGCTAGGTCCTGAGTTAATTCCCAATACAAAAAAAAAAAAAAAAAAAAAAAAAAAGAAAGAAAGAAAGAAAAAGAAACAATCATCAGGTCTCAGAAGGTGACCCTGGGAAAGCTGCGTTCTCCCAGGATGACATCCCTCTTCCAAGGTCTCTCCTAACTCCTTCCTAGCATCCTGTGTCATCAGCTACCAACAAGAGGCACAGAGAGGCTTTCTCTTCCCACTAGCAACACCAGCAGCCAAAGCTAATCTGGAGGGCGCTTTGCATGCTGGGCACAGATCTGAGTGCTTGGACCTGAGTTATCATCCTTAATGTTCTCACGGACATTACAGTGCAGGGACAGATTGAGCCTCAGTTGGACAAGTGAGAAAAATCAGGCACAGAGAAGGGAAGTAATTTTCACATGTCAAGTGGCAGAACCTAAATGCAAATGGGAATTTCCCCCCTTGAGAACCTGCAGCCATACCCGGCCCAGGATCACTGCAGAGAGCAGCATGCTGGGTTAATGAACCCCATGCACACCCAGTGGAGGGAGCTGCTCAGGCACTTAACCTGAGCTTGTAACAGGCTCCGTGCATATTCATTCCAGAGGCTGTGAGAATGAACAAACGAATGAACGAATGAATGAATAAATGAACAAATGAAACACAGAGGGTCATGCATGGCCCAGTAATAATATTATGCCTGAACCAAGGATTACGATGTATTCAAGTCTGTATGTCTAAGATTTATTTTTTTTAAAGTGGCTTATGTGGTCCAAGCCAGCCAACAAATAGGTGTGTTTGACCCAGAGTGTCTTTAGAAGATGAGAATGTTTTTGGTGAGTAGATCTGAAGTAGTGACCACACAGCTAGGGTTCAGGGCCTGAGCCCTGCAGGCTCCTCCCCCCCAGGGCCCTCAGTCCTTCCACAGGTTCCTTCCGTGGGTGACCTGTCCCAGATGAGCTTGCTGTAGGGGCAGGGGTGCATACAAATGGTTAACACCGAAGTTCTTCAGAGCAAACTACTGCAGCCAATTGTTAGAGTGGGCAAAGGAAGACATACAGCGACAGTCCCTGATGCAGCAAGTCCCCACCAGGGACCTGGGACAGGGACTAATGATGCCACTGGTTGGCCACAAGCGCACCCTCACCCACAGTGGCTCACTGGTGCTGAGTGCCATCAATAAATACAATTATTGCTCCAAATTATTAAAAATTTACAATACAAGATCTATTACCATGAGCTCCCGCAGAGTGCTCCCCTTGCTTTGGACACACCCCATCATGCTGCCCACTTTCTGAAGCCGTTCTGCAAGTCCTCTTTCCTCAGTGTCTGTACCTGTGCTTCAGGGGCTGCTTTGATGTCCTGAATCGATTCAAAATGTCTCCCTGTCATGGTCATTTTGACTCTGGGCAACAGCCAGAAGTCACACGGAGTCAGATCTGGTGAAGCAGGTGGATGAGGACGCACCGCTATTTTTCAGACCTGCCTACCCACTAGGTGGCGCTCGGCAGCAGCATTCACTGT